CCTGTAATCCCAGCTACTCAGGAGGCTGAGGCAGGAGAATCGCTTGAACCCAGGAGGTGGAGGTTGCAGTGAGCTGAGATCGTGCCACTGCACTACAGCCGGGGCAACACAGAGAGATCCCATCTCAAAAAAAAAAGAATGGCTAAAATCCAAAATACTGACAATTCCAAATACTGGCAAGGATGTGGAACAACAGGAAGTGTCATTGATTGCTGGTAGGAATGCAAAATAGTATAGCCACTTTGGAAGATAATTTGGCAGTTTCTTACAAAATTAAATATACCCTTACCATATGATCCAGCAATTGTGCTCTTGGGTATTTACCCAAATGAGTTGTAAACTATATCCACCCAAAAACTTGCACACTGGTGTTTATAGCAGTTTTAGTCATAATTGCCAAAACTGAAAGATGTCCTTCAGTAGGTGAGTAGATAAAACTGTGGTACATCCAATGAAGTATTATTCAGTGCTAAAAAGAAATGAGCTATCAAGCCATGAAAATACATGGAGGAACCCTAAATGCATATTGCTAAGTGAAAGAAGCCAATATGAAAAGTCTACATACTGTATGATTCCAATTCTATGACATTCTGTGAAAGGCAAAACTATGGAGAAGTAAAAAAAAGAAAAAAAAAAAATTCAGTGGTTGCCAGGGGTTCGGGGGAGGGAGGAATGAATAGGCGGAGCATAGAGGATTTTTAGGGTAGTGAAACTATTCTGTATGATACCAAAATGGCGGATACATGTTGCTGTATACTTTTCCAAACCCACAGAAAGTACAACACCAAGAGTGGATCCTAATGTAAACTATGGACTTTGATTGATAATGATACGTCAGTGTAGGTTCATTGATGATAACATATGTACCATTCTAGTACAGGATGTTGATACTGGGGAAGGATGCATCTGTGAAGGGGCAGGAAATCTGTATATGGGACCTCTTTGTACTTCCTTCTCAGTTTTGCCATGAACCTAAAACTACTCTGAAAAATAAAGTCTTTTTTGGGCTGGGCGCAGTGGCTCACACTTGTAATCCCAGAACTTAGGGAGGCCAACACAGGAAGATTACGTGAGGTCAGAAGTTCGAGACCAGCTTGACTAACACGGAGAAACCCCATCTCTACTAAAAATACAAAATTAGCTGGGGGTGGTGGTGCATACCCTTAATCCCAGCTACTCAGGAGGCTGAGGCAGGAGAATTGCTTGAACCCGGGAGGCGGAGGTTGCGGTGGGCCAAGATTGTGCCACTGCACTCCAGCCTGGGTGACAGAGAGACTCCATCTCAAAAAAAAAAAAAAAAAGAAAAGAAAGAAAGAAAAGAAAACAACATTAATTCTCACTTTTGAAGGGATAGCAGGAAGATGCATATTCATATTGCAGCATCTGTGATAAAAAACAATCCATTTGGCCGGGCGTGGTGGCTCATGCCTGTTATCCTAGCGCTTTGGGAGGCTGAAGAAGGAGGATCCCTTGAGTCCAGGAGTCCGAGAGCAGCCTGGGAACACAGTAAGACCTTGTCTCTACAATACATACACAAAATTAGTGAGCATAGTGCTCACCTATTAGTCGCAGCTATTCTAGAGGCTGAAGTGGAAGGATCCCTTGAGTGCTGGAGGTCAAGGCTGCAGTGAACCAAAAAAAGACCAGTGAATTCAAGTATCTACCCCCTAACCCAAACAGCAGCAGACCCTAACTCTTTCAGGGTGTCATCCTAAGCTAAGTAGAAACCTAAAAGTTTCCTAGAGCACAGATAAGAGTGACCTAGCACCCCAGCCAACCAAAAGGGGAAAAGCAGAACATAAGCTTACTTTCTACAAAGGAAGCAGCTATACAAATTATACCAGAGAAGTAGAAAAACACTAATTTGAGCATCCAAAAAGGGGGAAGTAGTTCCAAATACTTCTAATAGAGAGCATTCTGTAAGGCTTCCAGCGAGCTATTAAAGGTTGAGGAAACCTATCTGGCAACCCAGTTAATTTCAGGACGTATAATTACAGGAACTTAGTTCCTCAAGTCAGAGATGCCTGTGAGGAATTGCACGGTTTGAATCACAGCAGATTTGCAGCCTATTTAAGTTTTTGGACCACTAGAAAACTGGAAAAACAATTCATTTAATATAATTGAGAGAATACTTAAAAATCCTGCATTGATTCAATTATCTACTGACTTAGAATTATATGATTGCTTCCTATGGAGGGTTAATTCCCTGGCATTTAGGTTGAACCCCTACATATACCTTCAATTTTCAAAAAAAGAAAACCCACAAAACTTTATTTGAATACAAAGGTTTACTTACGATAATAATGAAATCTTACTTATATTAACACTCAGAACATTTCTTGGGGATAGGCTTTTTTTAATGAAACCCATAATTTATTTATGTTACAAAAGGAAATGTTTACATCCCTGTTAAAGTATAAAAAGGCCTCATTAGTGTATCTGAAGAGTACTACATTGTACATTGTCTTCCACAGGTGGAAAAAAAAGAAGTTTACTTTTACATATACTTGGAAGAGAAAGTCTGCATTCTGCACTAAGTTTTTTTGAATGGAATCAGTTTAAATTGTCTTCAGTTCTAGCAAAGAATGTTCTTAAATATCTTTCTTTAAAAATCCAATAGGCCGGGCATGGTGACTCACGCCTATAATCCCAGCACTTTGGGAGGCCAAGGCGGGTGGATCACGAGGTCAGGAGTTCTAGACCAGCCTGGCCAAGATGATGCCGTCTCACTAAGAATACAAAAAATTAGCTGGGCGTGGTGGCGGGCGCCTGTAATCCCAGCTACTTGGGAGGCTGAGGTAGGAGAATCACTTGCACCCGGGAGGTGGAGGTTGCTGCGAGCCAAGATTGCACCATTGCACTCCAGCCTGGGCAGCAAGAGCAAAACTCTGTCTCAAAAGAAAAAAAAAAAAATCCAATAGTAATTTCAGATTCACTTAAATATCCCCAAAATAGTAAGTGGAAAAAAAAGTTTTTTACTTGGGAAGCCGAGGCAGGCGGATCACGAGGTCAGGAGTTCAAGACCAGCCTGGCCAACATGGTGAAACCCTGTCTCTACTAAAAATAGAAAAATTAGCCGGGCATGGTGGTGTGTGCCTGTAATCCCAGCTACTCAGAAGGCTGAGGCAGGAGAATCGTTTGAACCCGGGAGACGGAGGTTGCAGTGAGCCGAGATTGCACCAAAATAGGCTGGGTGCAGTGGCTCACGCCTGTAATCCTAACACTTTGGGAGGCCAAGGCAGCTGGATTGCCTAAGCTCAGGAGTTCGAGACCAGCCTGGGTAACATGTCAAAACCCTGTCTCTACTAAAAATACAAAAAATTAGCCAGGCGTGGTTGTGTGTGCCTGTAATCCCAGCTACTCGGGAGGCTGAGGCATGAAAATTCCTTGAACCCGAGAGGTGGATGTTGCAATGAGCCAAGATCGTGTCACTCTACTCCAGCCTGGGCGACAGAGGGAGACTCTGTGTCAGAAAGAAAGAAAGAAAGAGAGAGAGAGAGAGAGAGAGAAAGAAGAGAGGGAGGGAGGGAATGAGGGAAGGAAGGAAGGAAGGAAGGAAGGAAGGGGAAAAGAAAATAACAAGTATTGGTGAGGATGTGGAGAAATGGGAACTCTCATGCATTGTTGGTGAGAATGTAAAATGGTGCAGTCACAGTGTAAAACATTTTGGAATTACTCAAGACATCGAATACAATTACCATATGTCCCAACAATACCACTCTTAGGTATATACCCAAAAGAATTGGAAAAAAAATGAATCAAATACTTGTACACCAATGTTCCTAGTAGTACTATTCACAATCGTGAAAAGTTGAGGGCCAAGCGCAGTGACTCATGCCTGTAATCACTTTGAGAGGTTAAGGCAGGCAGATCACTTGAGGTCAAGAGGTCAAGACCACCCTGACCAACATGGTGAGATCCTGTCTCTATTAAAAATACAAAAATTAGGCTGGTCACCGTGGCTCACCCCTGTAATCCCAGCACTTTGGGAGGCCGAGGCGGGTGGATCTCCAGAGGTCAGGAGTTCGAGGCCAGCCTGGCCAACATGGCAAAACCCTGTCTCTACTAAAAATACAAAAATTAGCTGGGCATGGTGGTCCATGCCTGTAATCCCATCTATTCAGGAGGCTGAGACAGCAGAATCACTTGAACCCAGGAGGCAGAGGTTGCAGTGAGCTGAGATCACACCACTGCACTCCAGCCTATGCAACAGAGCAAGACTGTGTCTCAAAAAAAAAAAAAAAAAAAAAAGATGGAAACCACCCATGTGTCCATAAATAGATGAATACTTGAACAAAATGTGGTATATCCATACAATGGAACCTTAGTCAGCCATAAAAAGGAATGACATTCAGGTATATGCTATAGTATGAAGGAAACTTGATGACATTATGCTTAGTAAAATAAGCCAGGCACAAAAGGATAAATACTGTATGATTCCACTTATATGAGGTACCTAGAGTAGTCAAATTCATAGGGATAGAAAGTAGAATGGTGGTTGCCAGGAACTGGGAGAAGGGGACATGGAGAGTAATTATTTATTGGATGCAGAGTTTCTGTTTGTGATTAATGAAGTTCTGAAACTGTAGAGCGGTCATGGTTACACAACATTATGAACATGCTTAATGCCACTTAACCGAACACTTAAAAATGGCAAATCTTCTATATATTTTACTACAAAAATATATAAGAGGATTCGTAGTTTTTCAAAACTCTTCTGGGGAGTACTGGAGAGGGGGAAAAAGCCAGTAGTCCTCAATGCAATGAGCCCTACACCAGCAACTTTAAGGCTGAGGCAGAGAAATGTAACTGTTAGAGCCACACCACCTGGTCAGCTATTTCTCTTAGTGTGTGTGTGTGCATGCACAGTTTGGTTTTCCTTTTTGTGGAGCACTATATTGCCCAGGCAAATCTCAAACTCCTGAGCTCAATCTATCCGCCTGCCTTTGCTTCCCTAAATGCTGGGATTGCAGGTATAAGCCCAGCAGCTTTTTCTCTTTTCTTTCTTCCTTTTTTTTTTTTTTTTGAAACAGGGTCTTGCTCTGTCGCCCATGCTGGAGTGTAATGGAGTAATTATGGCTCACTGCATCCTCTAACTCTCCAGCTCAGGCGATCCTCCCACCTCAGCCTCCCAAGTGCAAGTACCGCGCACACCACCACACCCAACTGTTAATTTTTTCGTAGAGAGGAAGTCTCCTATGCTGCCCTAGCTGGGCAACTCCTGGGCTCAAGAAATCCCCCTGCCTTGGCCTCCCAAAGTGCTGGGATTACAGGTATGAGCCACTGTGCCCAGTCTTGGTGAGCTTTCTGAACTCAAAGCTGAGTAGAGACCTGAAGTAATTATCAGGACGATATGGGTCAATAAAACTCATCCTCCTATTTCCATTTGTGTTTGAGTTAAAACAGTATCTTCCACTTAAGTGCTCATTTCTCAAGTTTTGATTTTAAATATAAAAACAGCCTAAAAGTGCTGTGTTTACTTCTTTTATATTTCAACTATCTCATTTTTAGCAGTGTCTGGGGACAAAAACTAGCATTTCTCCGAGACCGTCATATCCCCAAACTGACTGCCATATGAATGGTTTGTTGGGTGCCTGGAATGGCTTCTTCATGTAAGTTCTCACTTGTAATCTTACACTTTGGGAGGCCGAGGCGGAGAATCACTTCAGGTCAAGAGTTCAGTTCAAGACTAGCCTGGGCAACATAAAGAGACCCACGCCCCCACTCCCATCCCCACCTCCAACCCTGGCTCTACAAAAAAATTTAAAAATGAGCTGGGGCCAGGCACGGTGGCTCACGCCTGTAATCCCAGAACTTTGGGAGGCTGAAGCGGGCAGATCACGAGGTCAAGAGATGGAGACCATCCTGGGCAACATGGTGAAATTCCCGTCTCTACTAAAAATACAAAAATTAGCTGGGAGTGGTGGCATGGGCCTGTAGTCCCAGCTACTTGGGAAGCTGAGGCAGGAGAATCGCTCGAACCCGGGAGGCAGAGGTTGTAGTGAGCCTTTGTGCCACTGCACTCTAGCCTGGCGACAGAGTGACATTCCATCTCACACACACACACAAAAATTAGCTGAGAGTGGTGGCATGCGCCTGTAGCCCCAACTACTCGGGAGGCTGAGACCAGGAGTTTGAGACCAGCCTGGGCAACATAAAGAGACCCAACCCCCAGGCCCCTCAGTTTTACAAAAAAATTTTAAAAATTAGCCAGGAGTGGTGCCGTCGCGTAGCCTGCAGCCCCAGCTACTCGTGAGGCTGAGGCGGGAGGATCGCTTGAACCCGGGAGTTCAAGGCTGCAACGAGCTATGATAGCGCCACTGCACTCCAGCCTGGGCGACAGAGCAAGACCCTGTTTTACACAGACAAACAACACAAACGAACAAAAGGTCACAGCGAACTTTGTTCAAAAGTCACATTAACACTCAGTCTTAACCCTGACTGGAAGCCTGGGCTTAGGACACAGGGCAGCTCTCCCTCAAAAGGGTGGTCTCCCAACAACACCCAGTCCACAAGTTGTTCCTCGCCCTCCCCAAACCGGTACAAGATATATTAGTCTCTGGGCAGCTCCAAAGGATTCTGGGACCTACGGGAGGGACTAAGGGACAAATATGAAATGTCGGACAAATGAAATGTGCGCAACGGCTAGGTTTTGGATGATGAGCCAGTTGCTGAGCGACTTCTCAAATCTTCCAAGCGCCCCCAATACCTCTTCCACCCAGTAGGGCTGCGCTCTTTCAACCTTCCACGCCCCGCCTCTCCGCTGCCCTATCAGCAAATCATCGGGCCGGTGCCTGCCAGTCCGGGCCAATCCCAAACACATTTACTTTGAGCGGGAAAAGCTCAGAGAGCGAGGTTTGCTAACCGCCCCTTCCACTGCTTGTCTCTGGGGGGTAACGGAGCCTGGAGTGGTCGCCCATTGGATGGGTATCGGGCCAATGGCGGGGTGCGAAGCGGGGGGCGGGCCTCACAGCGG